GTGGAAAGCACAGATCTGCTCTGTGACTCTGACGCTGGGCTCTTTGTGATCTTCTCTGCGCAGAAACAAAGTGTTGAACATCTCGTCTGGTCTGGACGAACCGGGGAAGATGAACTGGGAGCTCATTTTGTGTCTGATGGCTGTCTGGGTTCTGGTTTACTTCTGCGTCTGGAAGGGAGTCAAATCCACCGGGAAGGTAAAACGTTGTTTTTTAAATGGAGTCCCAACCTGTGTCTAGCACTTTGTCACCTTCCCTGTTATATAACATATTAATATTATTATTATTAACTGAGGATCAGATCAGAACATCTGCATGTGAATGAGTCTGTGTCCAGATTATTATAACGAACCAAAACCAATTAAAAATCATAACTAGATGTGAAAAACCCCCACATCCAGCCTGAAGAGGCTTTGGTGCATCTTCGATGTCTCACATCGATTGTTGTCTTGTCTGAATTGTTTAAATTCTGCACCCATCAAACACACCCTACAATACTTTTATATACCACCCAAAGAGACTAACACTAAACATGTTTGCTCAGCACAAAAGTGAACTGAAACGAGCAAACCCACTCTGGAAACTAACACAACTGACAATGAATCAAAGTCAAGACGTCAGAATAAAATCACAATAACAAATTAAAAAAACCCACAAAACTTAAACAACTCCGGTCGGTGTCCCAGGAAAAGTTTACACAGTTAAGAATAAACAGAAAAGTCCCACGAAGGACACACAAACTGAAACGTGTCGAACAAGTAAACGTTAAAAATGTGTTCCAGTTTAACCTTCGAGTGACCGAGTCAGCTTGTTGTGACATTTTTAATCATCAGAACCTTTCCTGCCGCCAAGCTGGTAAATTGGACGATGAAATGAAACGGCTATGATAAACATAAAGTAGAAAGTGCTGCAGGAAGAAAGGGAACATGTTTAATGTCCTTTATGAACCCTTTCAGTCATTTTAGTCGCTATGGTGATTTGTTTGCTTCACGATCAGGAAATAGACTCGATCTTGAGTGCTTGAAGAGAAAGTACCTGGACTCCTCTTTGGCTCGTGATGTTTGACTAACAGCTGATGGAGACTCCCAGTATTTATCCCTGTCACCGGGGAAAAGTGCTCAGACTCGCTGTAGATGGCTCATGGTTTGTTTGATAAGCCGCCATCTTTGCTCATCACTTGTCCTTCACAGGTGGTCAGATTGAGTCATTCTCATAGATTATTTTTTAAAATTTGCAATAAAACTGAAGATGCGGAGATCTTGTCTGACTTTAAAAAGCCACTGTTTGAATAATTCTTTACAAAAAGAAGTCGAACAGAGAAGACTTGGTGCTTCCTGCTGTCATCCATGTCCCCTAACTAAGACAATATGTGTGAAACTTTGTTCCCTGAAACTAACTGACCATCCTGAGTTAAAATGTCATTACCACATCACACTGTGACGATCAGGAAGGTGGAAAAAATACGGGACTGTTCCTTTAAAACTACAACCTTCAAACGACGTGTGTGTGTCATCGGATTGTGATGACGAGACTGTACACGGTGCCGTCAGATGGCAGGCTAAGAGTTGCTATGACTACCCTAGAGGTAGTGGTGGTGGGGAGGAGAGTGTGGGGGTGTGTGAGGTGGCGGCATGTGATTGGTTGTCTGGTAGGAGGGCAGCTGACTGCAGTGGGACGTGACTGAGAGCCACTCGGAGAGCGAATGCCCCCCTTTCCTGTACTGTAGGAAAACTCCACTCGGGGACAAACGGGGACATAAAAAATCTGTCCTGGAATTCGACCCAGATCAGCAGCGCAGGAGCACCAAGCTCTCTCTGCATCACTGATAACCATACAGATGATTTAGCTATAAAATCACACAAACTTCATTTAAAAATTTTAAATGGTTCAAAAAAACCATTCTCACTAAAGTTCAACACACAGAACTCTGTAGTTATTCAGATAGTCAAAATGATCTAAACAATTAAAGATTTCATTTTCTTGTTTTATTTTCACCCAAAAACAGAGTGTACTTTATGTAAACAAGGTCTGGTGGCCCTAAAATATATAATGTAGGCTAAATTTTGTGTTAATGTGTTGGTCTTAAGTAAAACTAAGGTGTAACACTGAATTGATTGACAATTTATACTTTAAAAAACACTCAAATGAAGTGGGGACATTTTTGACCCCTGAGGACCACAGGTGCAAGGAAATCGGGAGGACATTATGAGGGTTAAACAGCACCTTTAAAAAGAGAGTAAGGTGGGGCCTTTGCCTTTAAGGTCTGGACAAAAATAAAGACGAGACAGGAACAGAAAGAGAGAAGGACAAAGAAACTGTGCTGGAGTTGGTGAAGCCCCCAACCACGTAGAAAGTTTTCTACATGAGGGAAAACTACTAAACGTGCATAAACACCTAACAGTAACACAGCTCACTGTTACCAGTTAGAGGCCCAGAGGATCTTATTAGCCACGGCTGCGGGGGAACACCCTTCAGAGTGGCCACGCCCCTAATCCAATTATCCAGGTTAAGTTATTACAAATAAATGAACCTTTGAAAGAGTAGGCTGTAAACATGTTTATTTTTACTGTAAGGTTAGATATTTCAGCACTGCTGGAGTCTGCCTCAAGTGGCCATGAGAGGAACTGCATTTTTGGTGGCTTTGATTTTCTTTTGACCCTGGATCTGGTTGTTTGGTCAGCAGTAGGATGATGTGTCGTCTCTTTTGGTCGAGTGTACCAAATGATGAAGATGCCAGAAAGGAGGAAATCCAATATTAGGGCAAAGAGAAGAAAGAGTAGCTAGTTTGCTAGTGTCTCCTGAGGGAAATGTTACCCAGCCTTCTGGTTTGCACTGAGATTCATGACTGTGGTTTCCTAAAGATTACAGAGGACCTGTTATTCTATGACTGTGCACAATGTTTTGAACATGGGCAGAAATCCTTCTGAAAGACCTCTGGTGTATAAAAGTGCACTTCTCATAAAATAAAACTAAATGAGGCAAACAGCTGCCAAACAGAAGCAGCCTGACATCAGAGCCTCTGACGCTGGAAGCAGACAAACACAAATGAGCACAGAGGAGTGAGTCACGCCTGTTCGTGTGCCGACTTGGCAGGAATAATATTAAATGAGAATAGATGAGAATAAATATTTGAAAGTGATTTGACTGCCATTTATCCCAAAACACCACCACTGATGCACAGACAGAACTTTATGATACATACTCATAAAGTTTAGAAACAGAGCAGCCCTTTGAATGGCTGTTATCATTCCTGCATCACCAGCAGGCTGGCTCTTTCATAAACAAGGAGGCTAATGAGTTTTAATGACTTTAATTCATGGTGGACCTGATGGTAAACTAAACGGGAATAATGGGAATGAGAAATGAGTGTTTCTCCTTTGAAAGATGAACAAACGTCTCTCCAGGTAAGCAGGAAAGGTGACATAGATTCGGTGACTTTTACCCAGGTGGCATCTTTGGCTGCCTGGTTACTGTATTTGGTTTGGGTTAAATTGGGCCCTTTTACAGCAATGACAACGTATTCCCAAGCACCAGCTTCAAGGTCATGATAGTCACGACTTCAAGTAGATTTTATATGCACTTGAGTACATAACCTCTTCAGATTCTCACCATTATCTGGACTGCTCTCCATTTATCATTAATTGGAAAGGATGATAGGACACTTTTTGAAGTACAAGCACAGGTACACCAAGTGTCTTCTCTCTATGGGACGGCAGATAAGAGGTATTCAAGGAGCTGATAACTTAGAGTACATAACAAACCATCCAAAATTTATTTTGAGCACCAAGGATCTGATTTTTAATGCACATAAGTTAAAGGAAGAACTTAAAGTCTTACAGAAGATATGCAAATGCTGTTTTTTGTTAATCTCTTACAGTAAAATTGTGAATCTCTTGATGTCTGATGTTAACAGGACAACTAACAGAAAAACCATCAGGATACAGGATGGATTTAACTGGAACCCACAAATAGAACTTTTTGACCTTAAAAGGTTTTTAATATTTTCTTTGTATGTTTTAAAATAAAACTTCATGGTGTTAAAAAGTCTGAGATCAACACTGAAAACTCTGCTGTTTTCTATTTGTTTCGCTTTAATCCCAAAATATTTACTTCCTGCTGAAAACGCCAGCTGACCGTTAAGTCTTTGACAGATCTGGAAGAATTTCAGGATATCCCGCTGTTTGCTCCACCCCCTTTTTCCTTTAATGTCAGCAGTATTAGAGCTGCACGAACAGTACCAGCTCTAATCATGTTGCCCTTGCACGATCTGACAACAAAATAAAACTACTTCTGCAAGCGCAGAAAACCGCAGGCGATATTCTACAGCTGATTCATTTGGACTGTGTTGGGATTTAGAGGTAAAGTGTGTCTGATGTGCTAAAAACAGGAAGCTGGCATCTGATATGATCCATCTCCACCTCCTGACTTCTCCGCTGTGTTTGTGCTGTTGGAGCCTTTTGAAGCATTTTTAATGGAATCATCTCTTGGCTGGCTGTGCAGCAAAAACATCTGTGCTTGCAGTTCAAATGCAGAATCCAGAACCAATGGGTGGTGTCACAGTGACTATGCCCCCCCTTATACACAGTATCTGGCTCCAAGGAGCTTCTTGTGATGTCAGGAGTGTTTTTAGAGTTCAGGTGTGCAGGAAAGCCCAAACGAGCCAGCACGCTTTGGTTTTTACGCAGTTCTCTGAAGCTTTTAGTTGTGTTACAGCTCTGCTTTGGATCCAGGGTTTGAGAACTTTGTGCACCACCCTTTTACTAACTTTCAGTCCAACAAGAAAAGTTCCTCTTTTCTCTGAATAACAGTCAGACTTGTGACTCTTTCTCTTAGTTCTGCTTTAAACGCAGGGCACGGGTGTTATCTGAGCGCTGCTTCAGTGGAAGGGCTCAGACTTATTTCATTGATTACCTGGAAACAGAGACCAGGACTTCTTTTGTTTCTGGATATTTTCATTTATTTCCGTGTTTACATAAAAATGTGACAGACCTTTTATGTGCTCGCAGACTTTTTGACCCAGAGAACAAAGGGAAGTGAATCATGCTCTTTGAAAACTAACCAGCTGCTGTTAGGTGGTGTTAAAAGCGTGATTAATGGGAAGAACATCTAACAGTGTAGGAGTGTTTCTGAAAAGCTGGAACACAGTGTTGCTGTTGAGTTAAAGGTCGTCATAACAAGCAAACACACATCAGTTTTGTTATTACTCCATTTTGAAAAGGAAATCGCACTAAGCTGCTGCAAAACTAGAGCACGTAAACCGCATTAACCTCTGACACACATCAGTAAACACACACTCGCACACCCTCGACACACACGTTCCCAGGATCAGATAAATGGCTTTTTCTTCTCTTTTTTCCCCCCTTGTTTTCACTGCTTCTGTTTAGGGTGTTGCCAAAATGACCCAATCAAAAACAGCTTCACTTATCAGACTGAGCATGTGCAGTAGAAACCTCTGCGCTCACCTGAATAGAGACGAATCCAGCGGCTTGTTTCTGTGTTGCATTCATGAACCCCGTGTCCTCATATTATCTGGGTCAGCTGTGTCTTCACAGCAGTTTGATGAAGTGAATGTAGAAGATGTTCAGTGAAAGGGCTTTTAAGTCCGCAGGCTGGACTCTGCAGGAACTTCCTGTTGGTTTTTATTTAATTATAGATAGAAATGTTCTGCCGTGATCCGGGTCAGGCTGCAGAGATGCCCAGACCTCCTCCAACTCTTTAGGGTGGGGTTCCCAAACTAGCAGCAGCTCTACTTTGAGCACCTCATGAATGAAAGATCATCCACACTGGATGAGAGTAGTAGTGACGTAGCAACCGTAGACCATGTGATGTGAGTAAAAATCTGAGGAAAGAAGAGCGGGCGGGTCCAAAGTTAACGTTTTCTCTATGTTGAGGTAGGCAGCTGCCAGCGAGACATGGTGACAGTGCTGATTCAGTTATGATGGGGGGTAAATACACTAAAGAGCTGCCTGCAGAACTACAGCCTGGGATGTCTGAAGTAAGAGCGCTGATGCTTTCCAGAGGAAGCTGTTTTCACGCTTGTACTCTGAGTCTTATTGTTTGGTCACGCTGCAACCAGGCTGTGACAGTTCATTTCTTACACGGTGAAGAGAGGAAAGTTTGTTTTGGTCCCTTAAATGTGAAAAACACTCAAAACCAAATCCTGACATGTTAGTTTTGGGACACAGGTTCACACGGTGTGACCTAAACGTCGAGCTCCATTCATGGGGTAGTTTACACACATACGGTATCTCTTATGTAACAGTCTGTGTGTGTTTGTGTTTTTAGTCTCATGGCAAGTTAAGCCGCGTTCGCAGGGCTCTCAGTACCACCAGAAACATTATCTGCTGTTTGTCTTCAGCAGGAGGCTGAAAGCTGAGCATCAGGTCAGAGCAGGGCGAGACAGCCTGAGACACACAGAGAGAAAAGAGAGAGAGACAGACAGCCAATCCAGTCACAAAGGCAAGATGTCTGCTCTTAAAGGAAACATTCGTTTGAATTATTTTTAAAAACCCACATTTAATTGGGCGTAATGTTCGACTTTTTCATTGTAGATATTAATCTTGTTTACAGTAAAGTAAACAGGCAGAGCAGACAGTAGAGACGAGTTCTGACATGACTATGTGCTTGACTGAAGTGTGACCTCGGAGTATTTGATAGTGAGAAATGCCCACAGTCACCTTTGGCCCCAGAAAATAAGATCGCAGTCGGATTAAAGCTGAAGTGGAGTCTTGGATATGTGGAGCCACAAACAGACCCCTGGGTGATGGCGCGGTGGCTACATGCATGGTTTGTCTTTGTTACTATGAACATGTTTCTGTTACACCCTTGTCCTTACATCCAGAGATTTCTCTCTTTAGTGTCACGTGACTGTCGGATGAACAGGCTTCTTTAAAAGACCCAAAGTGAGACGACTCGTTAGCAAACCGGCCTACAGATCCTGGCATTAATCATGCTGCATATACAGAGATCTGTTGATTTATCAGTGAGATCAAATTTATATCAGTTTACATAAAAGTATCAGGATTAAAAGAACTCACCGTGATGAACGAATGCAATGAAAATGAGAATAATATGCCAGAAATGGCTGAATAAGCAGAAGATCAAAAGGTCATGTGCGAGCTTTAAAATTATGAATCGCTTTGAGAAACGTTTCAAACAGACGACTGAAATGTTTTTTCTGATTCCTTAACACACTGAACCGAACGACCTGAGCTTCACACTGTGAGTGTGCGTCAACCTGAGGAGGTGCTCCGCTGTGATTGCACTGACACTCGACCCTAACTGGGACCCGGCGCTCTCCGTGGTGCTGAAATGCCACATTCCTCCGTGTGTGTGTTCTGTCTCAGCAGGTCTCAGATCAGGTTCATTTTGCTTTCCTCTCATTTGTTTTCGTTACCTGATTCTCATGGATTTTTTTTTTTTAATGGCAGAATCCCCCTGGAGATTTTTAGGTCAGGAAACAAAACCCCTTCTTCTTCATTCCCCCTATGTAACACAAATTCACTTACCTGATTTTGATTAGGTAAATGAATTTGTGTTACTCCAATTCTGCAAACATAAAACCGTCAAACGCATGAAAGTTCACTGTGCATTTATCTGCAGGTGAACAATGAGACAGTCTAATCTGCTTGTTTCACAGGCAGGTGATTAAAAACAGACAAAGAGTTTCTAGTTGAAGCTTTGACAGACTGATGGATTCAGTGAAAATAGTGTGTGTGTTTTATGATAGTATGGTTGTGTTTCAGATTGTGTACTTCACGGCCACCTTTCCCTACGTGGTCCTCATCATCCTGCTGGTCAGAGGGGTGACCCTGCCCGGAGCCTACGATGGCATCATGTACTACATCAAACCCAACTGGTCCAAACTGGAGGAGGCTCAGGTCAGTTCATCATCCTGAAATCTCACTTACAGGCAGACTTTGTCATTGCATGGCCCAGTTTGAATCACTGGGCCTCTCCTTCTGATATTAAAGGGTCTTCATTATAAAATTATGAATTTTAATTTTTGTCATGTGCGTTCATGGTGAATACACCAGCAGGATTGTCTTTAGGTTGTTTAGGTAGACGTTTTAAACCTAATGTAGGGAGTAGAAAACCGAGATATTTGTGTTAAAACATAAAAGTAACAAAGTGGCGTAAAAAAGAAATACTCAAAGTACAGATACCTGCAGTATTTGTACTTCGTTACTTCGCTCCTCTGTTGGGGTGGGTGAAGCACCTGAAAGTGCACGAGTGGGAGGTTTAAATCCAGTTTTAGGCTGTCGGGCTGGCTGTTGTTTTTTATGGCTTGAGCATCCAAGATGCTGCAGCGTTTGTCATCAATTATTGATCAGCTATTGTCGTTAAATGTTTGCATCAAACATCAAACCCATGTGACTCCACAGGTGTGGATAGATGCTGGCACTCAGATCTTCTTCTCCTACGCCATCGGCCTTGGTGCTCTGACCGCTTTAGGCAGCTACAACCGCTTTAACAATGACTGCTACAAGTACGACACACACACACACACACACACACACACACACACACTTCACCAACTCCTTCAACCTCAGTCATCATATCTAAACCCTGTGAATCTTTAAAGTTACTCCACCTTAAACCTGATTGTGACCTTAAACGCCTTGTTTCCTCTCCTCTTCCTCACAGAGATGCCTTCATCTTGGCGCTCATAAACAGCGGGACAAGTTTCTTCGCTGGCTTTGTGGTGTTTTCTATTCTTGGCTTCATGGCTGCGGAGCAGGGAGTCGACATATCGCAGGTTGCTGAATCAGGTATTTACTCACACCGGACCTGTTCTAATAATTTCCTCCAATGCACTTTTTTATTCTTGGGCTCTATTTTACACGATTCACAGTGTAAATGATTATTTTAATACGCTGCCCTTCAGTAGACCTTCAGTTCATCTGCTGTTTTAGCTCCTCCCTATAAACGCTCTCAAAAAGCTAACATCCATCTGATTGGCAAACTTCCAGAAGCCTACAGAGGGGCAGCACTGAGTACTGGTGTCCATGCTGCGCAGAAAGAAATAAGAGCAGGCTGAAGCCTGAGCTTTGAGCTCATGGGGATTACTTTTACATAAGTGCACAGTGCTATTTGAACCTTGAACCATGTTCAATATAAACATAGAACATAGTAACATTATACACGAAACATGAGATAAAAAAATCAGATCATCTAAACAAACTGTGTCGTTGGTGGTGCTCTCCTATTTCGACCCCAAAGCCTCTGAGGCTGGTTTAACAAAAATGCATCATACTGAGCTTTAAATATAGATGGTAACTGGACTGGTTCTTACATAGTGCTTTTCTACTCACTGAGCACTCAAAGCACTTTATACAACTCCTGCAGTCACACAAGCACTTTATCTAAGGTTTTTTTAGTGCTTCTATCTAACATTCACCCACATTCATACTCCGATGGAGCGCATCAGAGAGCAACATGGGGTTAGTATCTTGCCCAAGGATATTTGGCATGTAGACTGGAGGAGCCGGGGATCGAACCACCAACCTTCCAGTGAGTAGGTGACCAGCTCTACCACCTGAGCTGCTGCCACCCCACTGTGCTTTGGTTTTCCAGCATAACGAGGGTAACTGTTATGCTGGAAGTCAGATTGTTAGTTGTAAAGACAGAGGATGAGCAGCATCTCTGTATCACTTCTCGGGAGGAGAAACAAGACCAAGAGAGTTTCACTGTAACGATGCATTAAAATATCCAAATCTTTACTCTCTGTCTCACACTTTTGGATGTGCTATGCATGCATATAGAAGCAGCGCTTCCATCCACTGTGGTGCATGTTCCAGCTTTGATAATCCTTGTTTTAAGAGCCAATCACAATCCAGATTCTAGGAAAAACAGGAAGAGGAAAAAGCGTCAGGTCACATGAGGTCAGCTGATAATTGTGTAGCCTCGACGATTTCAAATGGTGGTTATAAAAATAATGATTACAGAAGGATTCACTGCACTGTAATGAAGACCTGAATGAACCTGTGTGTGTGCGCGTGTGTGTGCGCGCGTGTCAGACTCCAGCCAGCAGTGTGTGTATTAATAGCTAAGCATCACGTGACGTGGCATCACAAACACACCGTTATATTTAGCTTGTCCACAGAAGGCTGCAGCTCTGAGCGGCTGTTCGGATCAAAGCTTTTCATTCAAACTTAATGAAGACTTTATGTAACCACAGAGCTAATGTTTACAGCCAGGTGAGAATAGTCACATGACAGTTCTTTGGCTATTTACACCTGGCCTCCTCAGCCCCCAGATAAAGAGCAACAGTCCTGGTGGAGGCGTGGTTGTGATAAATATACAGTTTATGATAAAGGGCCAAGAATTCTGAAAACTGCAATAACTCAAGAACAAAGCGACGAGGATTTTCAGTTTGATGCTGTTGATGTGTTCAGGAGGCTGAGCTGTAACACTGTTAAACTAAAACTGATCATTTTTCCGTCCATCCATCTGATGCCCGGATCGCCAGCTCTTCTGGAGGGATACTGAAGTGTTCCCGAGCCGTCTGATAGACACGGTGTCAGCCTGCCCTTGATATTTCAACTCTCCCACTTGGAGCAGTAACTCCACCCTTTTCTGACAATCATACTCTGAGACTTGGAGGTGCTCAATCTTTCAGTCCGCCTCATTTCTGTTGTTCAGATTTATGAGCAGTTGAGAATATTTAGGTTCATTTAAGGTCATTTAAGGTTCAATAACATCAGCGTTACTGACTCACTGATTTGTGGTTGTTATCGACCCTCTTATTTATGACTTTGGTCAGGTGAAAGCAGCGTGATCGATATTATTATGGAGATTTTTAAAAATCTGGGCTGGTAATAATCAAAATTAGTTTTATTGTATGTCAATTTCTCATTCATAAATTTTCAAGCCTCAGAGGTTAAACCAACAACACTACAACAAAGCCTCATCCAAGGTGTGGCATTAAAAGCATCTTATTTTATCTAGTTGCTCTAATGGTAAAGTACAAGTTAAGATTATATATACACTTTATCCCAAATCATCATGCACTGTTTATCAGAAAAACTGGGATGCCAAATCAATCAACACACCCTGTAAGAAACTAGCTTCAATAAGCTATAATAGCTCAATAAAAGTAATATAATAACGTTTAATAAAAAGGCTCAATAAGGTGAAGCTTGTACAACAGAAAGGAGCTCGGTCATACAGAAATAAAACTGCTTTATAAGTAAAAGATTAAATAACATTCAGTAGAACAAAATTCAAACCAATCAATCGAATAAAGTTATTCTTTAATGTAAAACAAACAAATAAACTAAAACAAAACAGAAGCTGGATCGCTGTGTTCCTCTCATGTGTGACTATAATGAGATGTGCATTAATGAGTCACTAAAGTCTTCATCATGTTCTCATTTTATCTGCCTGAAAATATTTTCGTGTACCTCTCAGGAATGGTGTGTGTCTGTGTGTGTGTGCGTCTGTGTGTGAGGACAGGAATCTTTTTATTTAATCTTGCTGTAAAAAGAACAAAAGTAAATCCAATTTACTGAATCCAATCTGACACGTCTATACTGGTTTAAAGTATTAGCATCAGCGTGTGTGTGTGTGTGTGTGTGTGTGTGTGTGTGTGTGTGTGTGCGTGTGCAGTATTAACTGTCGGATTATTTAAGCGAGGCCTTTCACCTCGCATGCGACAGCTCTCCGGTGCATATTTCTGTGCTGCCTGATGAAACACGCCGTGATTTGTCCTGCTGTAAATATTTGTCCTGCACCTTTAATCTTTCTGCATATCAGCAAATTTATTTTGTGGTATTTGAAGCTGACCATAGCTGAGCAGATGAGACTTTTTCATAATCAGGACAAACAAGCATTTAAAGTAGAACAACCTACTTTCAAAGCTGGATGTTTTATGATGTTTACAGCATGATGACGTCAGCCTGTTATTGCTTCATTGTGACATCGCAGAGTGTTGTGTTGAAAAAATAAAATGGGTGTTGTACAGCTCTCTCCGCGCCCTTTCATGTGATACAGTACGTGATATGGTCAAGTCAACCTTGATCGTGGATACTAACAATGACATCATGGTCAAACGCTTAGCCAACCAATTTCATATTTATGACTCTTTTCTTTTAATATTTATACTGTAGAGCCAGAAAATGAGCTGGTGGCACTGCAGCTTTAAATTCTGCACACGTTACATCTTCTGTGCACATGTTGGAAAAACATATATACTGTATGAGCCAAACCTTGAGCCGCATGTTAAAATCCTGTGAAGTCTCTAATGCCTGTGTTTGTGTGTGTTTCAGGTCCAGGTCTGGCCTTCATTGCATATCCGAAGGCAGTCAGTCTGATGCCGGTGGCCCCGCTGTGGGCGGCGCTCTTCTTCTTCATGCTGCTGCTGCTCGGACTGGACAGTCAGGTGACCAACACACTCTGTATCATACCTTTAATCAGCTGTGCATTTTCTCAATAAGTTTGCAGGAGTAACATGGAAATATAAATATCTATAAATATGGGTGTCATGTGGTTATAAACTGAATTTATGATATTTCCCACAGGATTTTGGTAAATGTTTAATAGATCAGTGGTCCTAATGCAGAGCCCTGGGGGACACCACAGAAGCAAATGATTGGAGAGAATTTTTAACTGGTTTTCAATATTTTACTTGTATTCAGCTTTATTCCTCCACTTCTGTTCAGCAAAGAGACACTGAAGACACTGTGTGTCTTTCTCCACGTCTGTCCCTGCAGTTTGTCGGGGTGGAGGGTTTTGTTACCGGGATTCTGGATCTGTTTCCTGGAAAGCATTATCATCGCTACAAAAGGGAGATCGCTGTGGCGATATGCTGTTTACTCTGCTTCATCATTGATCTCTCCATGGTGACACAGGTTGGATGAACAAAGACTTTTCCCTCAAAAATTTAAATTTTTGATGATTTATACCATTTTTAAATAAACTGTCTTTTCTTACTAGCTCGTAGTAACAAAAATGAAAACGCATAACGTGTGAAGGAGCTTATGAGAGAACAAGAAACACTTCAGCTGATGAACTGGTTTACTACATCGACACTGTTCACTGAGCCGTCTGTTCCTCTGTCTCTGCAGGGAGGGATGTACGTCTTCCAATTGTTTGACTACTATTCGGCCAGTGGGATGACTCTGTTGTGGCAAGCATTCTGGGAATGCATAGTAGTTGCCTGGGTCTACGGTATGTAATAAACACAAACACACAGTGTAGTGCTTCATAGCAACGTGATTGTAAATAGAGCCTTTGTTTGTCAGTGAGGTAACCCATCTCAAAATAGGTCTGAAAATCACCTCAGACGATGTGATATTAGAGGTCACGGGTCAACGTGTTTTTTGTCACAAGCTAATATAAAATACAATATCACAGAATGATATGGCAACAAAAGACTATTAAGCGTTGTCATAGTGTGAATACAATCATGGAGAATTTCTAGTGTTTTATGACGTGAGTGGGGAAGAATCCTCAGCATCTTCCTGTCTTTGACTTGCTGATTAATGAACTGCAGGTGCTGACCGCTTCATGGATGATGTGGCTCGTATGATCGGCTACCGGCCTTTCCCCTGGATGAAGTGGTGCTGGTCTTTTATAACTCCATGTGTCTGCATAGTAAGACTGAACAACACTATCCCATCCAGAAATAGAAACCCACAACCACACACACCAGTTTTCCTCCAGGCTATCAGGCACTAATACCAGTTTATTAAGAGCTGAGCGCATACGTACATTTTTGATTATTGTAGAGGAACAAATTCAGAAAAGATTCATATTGATTATAGACTTATATTTACCTTTTGCTGTCTCTTGAGCATACAGCAGAATCCTATTAAAACTAACAGGCATAGACCAACATTATTCATCAGTTCTGCTGTGACACCATAATGAAATCTCACAGTATCAACACCACAAATCATGTAAATGATGCCAAATATGTGCCAATCTTCCTCTTTAATCTCCCCTTTCTTCCCGTAGGGTATCTTTCTGTTCCACCTGGTGAACTATAAGCCCCTGACCTACAACAATGTGTACGTGTACCCATGGTGGGGCGAGGTGATCGGCTGGTGTCTGGCTCTGTCCTCCATGCTGTGCATTCCTGTCAGCCTTCTCTACAAACTCTTTAGAGCCAAGGGAACCTTCAAAGAGGTAAGCGCCAGCTCACCCTGGACGTGCACGCTGAAACAAAGGGTTATGAATGTATTTAAAAAGCATAGGTACAGACTTACCTCACATGCAGACTTTAAATTGACCTAAAACTGATGTAGTTACTATCCAGATAACAAAATTAACCGAGACCACAAAAAGTTTTACATTTAGATTTTATAAGGTAAAAATGTAAAAGGCAAACCTCAGTCTACCTGAAATTTGGTTTAAAATAAGGTTTTATGTAACTGTAATGTATGTCCCAGCGCTCGTAGCTCGGTATGAAGAGCAGAACATGTGACTTAAACTAATGCAAACACTCCTATTGAGTGACAGCAGAGGTCATTTCTAAGATATCACATCACGCTGCCCAACTTTATATAGAGTCGTTGTTGTAACATAAGCACACGTGGTGACACATGTTACCCTTTAAATTCTGGGAAATATACCTTAAATGAATAATAAAACACATGCAACATTACAGATGAATTAATTAAACTTTTCTTCTCTGAACGTTCTGGTTTCTAAGCTTGTTGAACCAACTTTGGCTAAGAATTTTTATTTTACAGTTAATCACCTGCTACAGTTTTGCAGAACAATTCACTTTAACGCAGCTGTATTAAATACAAATAAGTCAATAAACATGCATCATGATAAGCTCAAGGATCTGGAAGTGACAGGTTAAGTTTGATGGAGAGGGGAGAGCGAGTACAGTTGGACTGGTGCTGTTGTAGAAAGTCTGGAAACATCGAGCTTTCTAGCTAGCACCTACACCTCTGCTGGAATGGGTTAACTTGACTTATGAGTGTAACAGAGGGGCACATAGAAGGTTAGGTGGTGGATTGGTTGGAGAAAATCACCAAACTACCGGTTGCTCCCCTGAGGTGCTGGCTGCCACTAGTTCTCCTTGCGATTGCTTTTATTGTCAGCAGACCACTTAGCGAGTAGCTAGTGAGCATTTGCAGATAAGTTGTCATCTTCCATGCTAATTTTATGTGACCATGGCCATCAGCTAGTGATCAAAGCAATCACAAGGATGTTTTAGGAACAGTATTGTCTTTGAGACCTAGTGACAGACTGCAACCTCTTACAACCAGTTGGAGGATAGCAAGACATATTTTTGTGACCGAGGCCTCACTAAGGAAATTTTGTTGGGTATACGTCTAGAGACACAAAAAGTATTTGCTTTGAAATAGAGATAATTTAGTTTGCACAGTCCAGGTCAGCATGTCTAACTTCTAAACAGGAAAAGCTTTAATCAAACCAAGCGATTCCTCCAGATCACATGACTTGCAATCTGTGTGACCACGTGTTTGTTGATGTCTTGCAGCGTTGGGCCCACCTGACCACTCCGGTGTGGGGAGCCCATCACTTGGAGTACATGGCCCCGGATATCAAGTCCTTGAGCTCCATGTCGCCTGGCATCGATGACAACAAAGTCATCATCTTCGAGAGTGTCATGTAGGCAGGACTCCATCCCCGTCCATCCATCCACCTCCGACCAGACAACCGACAGCACCACACTCGACCTTCAGCTTTACCTCCAACCCATACAGAGGCCTCAGAAAGGACTCGAAGTGATTGATTAGATTTGTGGACTGATTGATTGCCTTTGCCCTTCGATTAATTGATTGATGGGTCTCCTTGGAGCTATTGATCAGTTGGTCTCTTCATGTCACCAAAATAACCAACGCTAAAGATTTTTTTTTTAATACCTAGAAAAGAACAAAACAGAAGAGGAGTGACACAGCTCCTTCAGAAAGCTTCATAATTCCAACAACCACGAAAAAGAAATACTCTCCATGAATGTGGATAAAATGCTAAATAAGGGTAATCTAAAGTTTTCACTAAAGGCAGAATCATTTTGTGTTCTCTAAAAATACAAAACAAAAGAGTGTCTGCTGTCGAGGTCGAAGTCGGAGGTCAAGTTTCCTCCATCACCGATGATCGGTAGTATCAATGCTCTTCTCTCTGGGTGGGTGGGATGAAACGTTAACTAATAAACTGCCATTACATACAATCATCTCATTAAATGTTAAAGGGACTTGTGCTCACTGATTTTTATTTTAAAAAATGGCCGTTTATTCACACAGAGTTGTAGACAGACAGACTGACTGACCCCCAGAAAATTAACAGAGGTCATTTGCTTTGCAACAGGATTTAATAAATGACAGGAAATAGTCTGAGACGCAGTCCCGTCGTCAAACATAAAAATGGAAGAAAAGATCAACCGAGAACCAGAACTATCGGGTTGAACGATCTCCGGGACTGGAGAGTAAAAAGTTCAACCTCCTGTTATCAAGCAAACCAGCGGTCCAGGAAGCCAGACTGTGCTCGGAGTCCTGAAATCGCCCTCAGACACCCTTTGAGCACTTTGATTGTTGAGGCCCAAATCCTAAAACTCAAACTGATGCCCTGATTCCTTTTGAACGTTTCAATATATCGGTGCAGCTCTGCTGAATCTAAATACTACAAATCACCAGCTTTTTACTACTGATCCCAGAACAGTCCTGGCTCCTGAGCAGTGTCGTGCTTCTCTGACCGCTGACCTCTGATCTGCAACAACAGATCTGATCTCAGAGGGAAATGTCCAGAGAGACTTCAGTCAGAGTTATAACAAGGGCTTTAAATTGAATCCAATCAAAAACAATTAATAAGATCAGTAAAATCTCCTCAGAGCTTTTAACCCCAACCAGATGCAAACACACAGATGCCGTCAGCTGTTGAAACTGATTTGAAACTAGACTGAAATCTCACTGGATCTGACCTTTAACCCTTCCCTGTCATGTGTCTGACCTCCCTGTGAGGAGGTTCAGGCCTGTGTGCGAATCAGGTCAGAGGTCGGGCTTCGTTCAGTGTCCCCCAGGTCGACTGAAGTGCCAAATGGGGCGCTGCCCGCCCTGCAGGGCTGATCCTAGACCAGGACTCCAGGCTGCCAAAATCAACCTGTTAGCTCTTCTCTCTGCCTCGTCTCTGTCTCATCGATGCTGCAGTCCTCCATCCAAACCTCACTTCTTCCTACTGAACCACTGATGGTGGCACCTTCCATCTCACATTCTCAGTTTCATACGCCTAAACTTTTCCTGTGTGATCAGAGTTCATATCATTCTAGCCATTTGTTTAAGGGCCTCCCTTTGGGTGTAGCTCCTCACAAACAAGCAACGCTGCCTCTGTATGTGGTTAACCTAGTCTCCGCACAGTAATGGAAATTAGACATTCACACTCTAGTGACTGCTCTGTACATAAAACCACCAAGAGGTCCAATATTAGAATCTATCACAAAACATTTAACAGGTTTCTAAGATTCCTCAAGAAAAAGAAATATCGATGTGAGATTGTTTTGAATAAAATACTTTCTGAATTGAAATAAGAAAACTAGCATCAATAAAATGGTAATATAAGTACATCGGCGCTCTTCCTTACACAATGCATCGACTGAGTAACACTAACTCACATTCATGAAGTTAGACTGCAAAATAAACTAAAACAAGAAATCACTCACACACTGTCAGTCGTAGACAAATTTATGTAACTGTACACAATTAAATATTATTTGTATAAAATTAACAGCAGAAAATGACAGTAAGGGGTCATTTGTATTGCTTAAACTGATAAATATGATTTAGCTGGGTGCTACACCTTTTTTTTTTTTCTTTAACTGAAAAATAGCACGGGGCTAATTTCTAGTGTTAATGATTTTATAACGTTGGAAATGTGTGAACCCTGTGCAAATCGTCTGCACAAAAAAGCCCCATACAGATGAGCAGACACTAAAGTACTGACACACTTCAAAAAGTGTTTAAATTTAAGAAAAATTGCTGAAGTGAAATATGAACCTCAAAATTAGCTACAAAAACTATCAACAGGACTTCCACTGATTTGCTTAGTGGACCCAAAATGCACCTTTAGTCTGGAGACCAGAAAAAGACCTGATTTGACTTTAAAACCGAGTCCGTGTTCACCTGCCGTCCGGTCAGCTGGTGGAGAGATGAGAGCCGGAGGACTCAGTGTGGTGCCAAGCATTGCCTTACATTGTTGTCTTAACTCTAGAGCCTGAACGGTTGACTAGCCAAACCCAGAGCCCTACAGGACGTCCTGTGTACGGCTCTGGTTTATATCAAACCAATCAGCAGTCTGCGGGGGCGTGTCTATAACTCTGTCTCCTAGCAACCCCTCACCATCCACCCATCATGGGGAACTATAACAATTAGAATGTCAAATATGCGAAAATCACCTTATTTCATATGACCTTTTACATATGAAACATTACTGTAAAAAAAATAAAAAAATAAAGAAATAATGTTGCTAGCACTTTAAAAAAAAAAGAATAGTGTTAGAAATCGCGTTTTGTTTTACATATTGTAAGATGAATCAGAGATTTATTTTATGGAGGCTTTTATTTTGCTGATACATACAATATGACAAATATATATATATTGAATATCTTTGTGTGTTATCTATATTTGATGCAGTATATAATTGCGATGATGATGATGATTTCTGGCTGATTGTTCACGTTTAGCTGGCAAGCACAAGCAAAGCGGTGCCTCGAGCTTCAGGCTACCTCACTCCTCATTCAGACTTTCAAAGCAAATTTCTTTTGGCTTTTTATGCAAAGTTTTGTCAGCAGTACCGGCTGGTAGCAGGAGGGGATTGTGGGAACCTTTACAGTTCTCCGACACCAATGAAAACAAAAAGTCATGCTTTAAAACAACTTAAACTGGGGATTTTTATGTTGAATTTTTTTTTAAATTTAATGTTGCTGATACACACTGATACTGCGAGGCCTTTGACCAAGTGTATGACTAGCTAACGTGAACAACCAGCGTAGGGCGGGGCTATTATTCCGGCGGGCTTGCTGCGATGCAGTGATATGAAGACTGTCGAGGTTTCGTGTGGATCTGAGCAAACTTCAAAAGGGAATTGTTGGGTTCTCTCTTTTACTGACTTCTAATGTTCAAAGTGCTCAAGTGTTTGAAGAGTTTTAGCTTTAGATGATTTTTATTCTTTGGGTTTTAAATCAATATCAGTGTTCTCCCAACGACCCCCCCACGGCTCTCACGTCATTACTTGAGTTTGATAGAAAAGTATGACAAACAATCCTTTAAAGTAAATTTGCTGATAATTGCTGTAACTGCCATTTGAAGTAATTAGGAAGCTCCTGCCACTCACTATCTCAGTATAGTGAGGTGGTCAGGCCTGGAGTGACAATGCCAACATGCGTGCAGCTGAAAAGATAAACAAAACAAACACTAAGATACTCCACCGGTTAGTTTAAGACCTTAATTACAGCCAGATACCCAAGAACGTAAAGAACAGCATTAGCAGAATCAGCAAAACAGACACAAATCTGGTTTCTGTATTTAATCTCTGGCTTAAAGCCCTGTTCAGTCAGAACGGATGGAGGTTTTTAATCCAGTCAAATAAACGAGTCGGATGAAATGGTTGAGTTCAAAAACCTGCATCCTTTACAACAATGATAACAGTCGCCCTCTATCATGTTTGGTTTATGCAAAGTAAGAAGTCAACAAAGCATAATGGACACAAACAAGACAAACTCAGTCATTTTCAGACCAAATGAAAACCTAATTATGAAGACCAAGTCCAAAGGGACTTAAAAAACAGTATTTGGGCTGTAAAGTCAAACATCATCTGCATAAAAAAAATGCTTCAAAAACACAATTCTTTGGATTTGGTATGACTTCTACTATTCAATTATATCAATACCTCTGATGTAAATCTATATTAAAAGTTTGATGTTTTAAGAAAAAGCCCATAGTTAGCCTGAGAATCTTCCTGTTTTCGTCAGAGTCAGTGACCTGAAAATAATTGTGCTTCTCGCTGAGAAAAACGTGAACAAATCAAAAATAAGGGAACAAAAAATAATGTATAAGAGAAAAATAAAGAAGGGTTTTAAATTAGAGAAAGAAGAGGAATCCTGCTCATGAGGAGCTTGTTGTGGTTGGAACTTTTACAGTTACTACCCAAATACACAAAAGACTCTCTTACAATTCTCAAACAGCAAACCACCTTAAATGGGGTTTAAGGGAAAGAGTGCAGAGCTCAGATGAGCCAGTTCCCAGAATGTTTAGGATTCATCTGTCGATCAAACTTTTCATATTTAAATGAGAATCCAAAGCGAGGATGCCTTTTGTGCAGCGTTCTGCTGCAGTGTGCTGGGACGTCTTCTAGGAGCCAAAACAAAAGTCATCAGCTCAAAAATACTTCAATACAAACCCTTCTTTCAGTTATTGTACACAACTAATTCAAGAACGGATCAAAGACAAAGTTTCTAATTTTTAAAATGTACAGATAACTCACTAAGTTATCAGTAACTAATGTCACTGATAACGGCTATTTCATTAATAAAACTAAACTTGCAGCAATAACCAATCAAACTCACAGTTTAATGTTCAATGTTTGATTTTTTTAAAAGTTGTATTGTAGTGTTCTCGTCTTGTTTCCGGACTGGAGCCTGGGTGGGTCAGAGTGTGAAAAAACAAAAAGAATCTACAGCCATTTAAGAAAATGAACATGTATGTTACAAAATCAATGTTGTTTCATGTCAGTTTGTGTGCTCTTCTGCCAAAACACATGTTGTGACAGAGTCATTAATCCAAAACTGTGACTGGAAACGGCCAGGCTGGATGCTGTAAAACACACCTGCACAGGTGCAGGGAGGTGGCTCTTTTTAGTTTTCCTCACTCAGGCTGAAGTGAGTGATGTCACAGGTGATGGTGTGAACTGAACATGCTATGCAAACGGTTGTGCTTCAGCCTGCGTGTTTCTGGACGAACAATCAGACATTCAGACAACAAAAATGACCCAATGCAGCATCTGGATTCTCACAGTGAGAAATGTTCTGGTCTCATCTGGACTGAAGCCACACTTTACTATTTTTTTAAATAAACAGTAACTGATGTAACTGACCTTTTACATATGAAACTTTAATGCCTGCCTGTTATTTTCATTTTCAGACAAGTATTTAAAAATAAAAAAACAAACAAACAAATAAACTGATTTTTAAAGAGTAAGAACTAAAATAAAGTAAAAATAAGTCAAACATCGATGTGTTGTACTCAGAATGTGAAAATCTTTAGCAAATTACTTTTATGCAGCATTTTGAAATGCACATCCAGAATGTATCCATAGTTAAATTTTTTGAGATTTTGTGCCGAAAATTTTAATGCTAATTTGCAGTTGTAAAAATTAAATCAGAAACGTAGCATTAAGGACGACCACCACCTGAAACTTGGTGATGGAACAACTAGCAGAGCAGAAAAGGCTCTTATGTTCAGTTTTTAAGTTTTATATTTTAATTCAATAAAGTTAAAACTTTTAAAATCTTATGAAAGAGAACAGAACGGATGCTTTTTTTACATTTAAATTTTATCCCTGAACTTGTCCATGTTGCTCCGACTGTCCGATTGTTCACTTCAGGTTTTTGATAAATGATACTTCGCTCAGCTGGTTTCCTTCAGTGGAGAGCGTTTATTTCCCAGAATCCTCCTGCTGTTCTCAGACCCATGCAAATTAGATGACACTCACAGCAGAGATGTTAGCAGAATGTTTAGCGGTTATTTTACAGCCGATAAGTTGCCAAAATATTTAACATCCAAATAAACCAGAACTACGGAAGCCTAAAAGGGAACACGCAAAGAAACGAGATGATGCATTAAGGTTTCGTTTCTTGACGGAACAGGAAGGTTTTCTGGGAAAAGCAAATAACTGGTGCTGTGGAAAAACAACCAAAAATATCACTGTGTGAAATATTTTTTTGGGAAGCTGACCTCAGGTGGGATTTTTGCAGCAGTGGAACCAGCAGGAGGCGCTCTCCTCCCCTGGGAAATGTCATCAAGTTTGGGCTGGAAACAGAGACAGAGACCCCTGACAATTAAAACCTGCTGAAATCAATTAAGGGTTCAATAAAAACACTGACGTGTACACAAGATCAAGCTAAAATTGGAAGTCAAGTGAGTGAAATGACTGTCACAGTAGCTTCCACTGAAGGCAAAGTACAAAACCAAACAACCATCCAATCACAGTCAGGCAAAAGTACTGTAGCTAAACATCATCTCATTAACTGAACCCATTCACTGTAACAGATTCTGAGTGAACGTGTACACGCAACAGACAGGAAAGACTTCAGCCAGCAGGTCCTGCCTCTGTCCCAGCTCAGACACAGCTACATGGTGCCCTCAGTGTTGTAACTGTGTCTTTGTGATTTGTGTAAACCACAGTCTTCCATACATAACTGTAGAGCAGACTCTTGATTAAGTAGCTTAACGAAGTAACTAGTAGTCGTGCTAATGATAATAACGTAACTCGGGGGCTTCATGTTAACGAGTCACCAGCCAAAAATTTTGCAGAGTCAATGTTAAAGAGTTAACTTTGAGCCCTGTCGGTGTCACCTGTGTTTCATCGACCTTTGACCCCTGCGAGGGTCTCCATGCTGCCAGCTGCTGTGATCACTGTGCTCATTCACCACCCAGTAAACTAACAGCAATAAAACTAATGTCACAACAAACAGCTGATCTATCTGTGTGGTTATTGGAGTATATAACGTCCACTGAAGGAGAGTGATTAACTGGTTACATCCCACTGGTTTAACGCTCACATTAATAAAACTTCACTTCTTTTATTCACACTTTATTTTGTCAATTACAGACTCAGATTTTCAGGAACCTAAAGCAAAAAACAGACCGATTCAGTCAATGGACGTGTCTCTGTGACCAAGAGGAGAACATTTCATTTGTTTACATAAAGACAAACAAAAGTTAATGATGGAGTTCCACAAGGTTCTTTGCTGGGGCCAATACTTTTTCAACATCACACTTCCCTCACACAACACTGCTCTACAGCCAGAATGCTTCTGCCCCTTATGTAGTCAAACATTGGTGACTGTGGTACTGAAACTGATGCTTTAATCTATTAGTTGGCTCCAGTTTTAATGGGATGCTGCTATTTCAGTGCTGAAAGTGAAAGTTTTTAACTTAAAGTGGGAAAATGTCTTCATATACATCATAACGCCTGAATTTTAGAAAAGATCAGATGCAAATTTTAGATGGCCAGTCTTCTTAATAAATAACTCATTCAACTTTAATGAAATTATGATTGTATTAATTTTACTATAACAATTGACAAATGATAACTTTTCAACCTTCTGACCTCATATGTGACCTTGTTAGTATCCTTTTTAAAGCATGTAAAAATACACCACAGGTAATGTTTTTATTTTTCTTCCACAACAAGCTTTTGAAAGTACTGTTCTTGAGAGATCACTGGGCGGACTTGGGAATATGTGGCATAAATTGGATGGATTGATGTCTTCTCATCCATACACAGACACATAGCCAAGTGATGAAACCAACATATCTACATGTATAATATTCTGGGTAAATGCTGAAACTGATGCTTTGTCGCAACATCCTACCCTCACACACCTTGACTTTCCTGGCAGCCTTTGAGAGGGAATAATTCTCATAATTTAATATTTTATAAGATGTCTACTCTATAATGACATTCTTTTTATGAATAATTACAAAAAAGGTGACATATCAAACGACAATTAAAAGGTGAGAAGACAAGAAGCTTATCATTTATGACTAAAACTCATCTAAACATTAAATAGTTTGGAATCGGCTATTTTCAATGTTATATTTTTGGATTCAGCTCTTCAAAAAAAGAATAATGTTATCTTGGAAGTAGATGACTTCTGAAAAATTGTTGACAATTATAATACAGCCAAACACAACATACAGTTCCTTCACTCTGCAGATGACACCCAAGTCTTTATGCACAAGTCTATCTAAGACAGTTAAATTACAAATTTATAAAATATCTGTAGCATCTATCTGTAGATGGGGTTGTTTGTAGTAGGGCTGCCACAAACGATTATTTTGATAGTCGACTAGTCACCGATTAATTTTGCGATTAGTCGACTAATCAGATCATCATCCATCGGACAAAACCTACAGCTTATTGCACCAGCAGCATCTGCTCTTATATAACTATCATTAGCTTACAGCTTTAAGTGTTTCAGGTATGTGCTAACTAAAAATAAAGACAAGATGATAGTTTATTAAATTTTAATAAAATTTGCTGATTGTTTCAGTGAAGTTTAATAAACTCTTTGCTATCTAAAATATAACAGGACACCGGAGTATATTCTCAAGCATCTCACACTTCTTCACACAAGCTGTCTGCTTGATGTTTATTCAGCTGTGTAAAAACTATAACTTTAACCGATTTACTCAGGAACAAATAAAATATTGAAAAAAGCCAAACAATAACATTTTTAAGTTATCTAAGTGATTCATGTATGTTTAACCTGAGTAGCGAAAGACGGCGGTGGGTTTGAAAACGATGTGCCGGGAGTCCGGTGTTCTCACGGCGCTAGTTAGCCTAGCCCCCGGCTAGCTATCGAGCTAGTGGGTAACAGACGTCTCCGAAAACGTCGGAGCGCTTTTGAAAATATGTGGTGTCCTGATAAACTGAGCAGATATTTGAGGTTTACACAGCTACATTCTCGCCTGAAAATATGTTAAACGTTTATTATGTGACCCAGAAAGAATAATAAGAGTAATATTAAAACTAACTAGCTGCCGCCATTGTTGGAAACTGAGCTGGGCTGCGCTATGAATTCTGGGACACAGCTTCTTCTTCTTCGGGGTTTAACGGCAGCTGGCATCCTTGTACATGCAGTGCTGCCATCTTCTGTTTCAGTCCGTTATTACACTCTTAAATCCTGCTACTTATTCCTGCGTCTTTTGTGATCTTACAAAGCTTCAAACGACGCGTCGACTATTAAACCAGTCGTCGACGATTTTGATAGTCGACGTAATCGTGACTAGTCGACTAATCGTGGCAGCCCTAGTTTGTATTTGATGTAGCACAGACTGTGGAAATTCCCATTTTTATGTCACCTACTGACTTCTAAACTTTGCATTTTGAATCCTAAACATTTGCAATTTGGCAGCTACCATTTTATTTTTTAGAGTGATCATATAGACAAGAGTAATGAATAATTTGTTAGCAAACCACATCCACCATACTAAGCACCAGATTAGTCAAACTAAGTAGCAGCATTTCACTCAGCAGCGCTGGGAGGCAGACTTGTTGGGCAGTATGTGAGATTATTCCATAAAAATGATGCAGAAAGTACCAGCACAGTGAAGGGTCCAGTTCCAAACTATAACTTTAAACCTTAACATTACCCATATGGATAAATTATTTTTTTTATTTATTATTTTTTTAAAAATGACATCAGAAACAGCATATGGATAAATTATTAAGAAAACTAGCCCATTATACAATTGCTATGATGGGAGAAATAAGCCAGAAAAAAAACAAGAACAACAAAAACAGTTTAAAAGAAGAAACATTTGCACCTGGATGTAAACATGTTATTTTCATCTCTAAATTTATATATTTTAAAATAAGAGTCTGTCTCTATTAACTCCAATGGAGGCAGCTTCAAGTGGTAACTAGAGGAACTTCAGCTTTGAGTACTTGTATGCTAGCTTAATCTTTCAGCCCTGCAGGTTGTTGCTTATACACTGAAGCCACTCACGTGCACTGAAATGTCCTTGGCTTTATCCATGAGCACACAATTTAAAAAACAGTTAAGAACTAGACAGTATTTCAGTGCGTCACATTTGGTTTACACTAAACTTCATTACCTGTGTGCTGCTCCAGGTGAACAAAACAGGAGGCAGAGGGCGGAGCTGGACCAAACCATCTGCTGTCATCACATGGAGGAGGAGGGGAGAAATGGTTTAATGTCAGGGGTGAGGGAACTCCAGGCCTCAAGGGCCGGTGCCCTGCAGGTTTTAGATGTGTCCTTGATCCAACACAGCTGATTTAAAGGCTAAATTACCTCCTCGACAGGTCTTGAAGTTCTCCAGAGGCCCGCTAATGGACTGGACATTTGATTCAGATGTGTTGACCCAGGGTGAGATCTAAAACCTGCAGGACACCGGCACTTGAGGCCTGGGGTTGCCCACCCCTGCTTTATGTACTGAGTTTGGTTATTGGCCCATTTCAGTGCTGAACAGCTCACCTGTAAGTCTCCTTCTTCTCCCATTGTGCTCCATAGTCTCTCACTTTCTGGTAGTGCATATCATGTTGTGAAATCTTCCATTTTCGACAATTTCCCACATAAAATAGGTTTTATTTATTACACTAGAGGTCTTTAAACTGAGGGTCATACAGCCCCCACAGGTGGGGAGAGTAAATATAGAATTAAGAATGAATGAAGTGCAATGAATCCGACTTCTGTGGGGAAAATAAAAGTTTGCAGAAGGACTTGTTTTGGCTGCTCTGCATGCTCTTCTTCACTACATCCATGCATAATGTTTGCGGTCTTCCTCTTTTCCTCCTGCCCTGTCCCTCCTTTTGCTCGACGTCCTGTCTTTTTGTCAGTGCACTATGTCCAAACCATTTATCACAGCAGGTCTCTCTACCACCTTGTAAACCTCTGCTCCACTCTTGCTGCCACCCTTCTGTAACAAATTGCTCCAGACACTTGTCTCCACCTACTCCACCCTGTCTGTGCTCTCTTCTCCCCCACTCTCATGCACTGTCAATTGCTTTGGATGCTTGATATATTTTAAACTATCTCGAGCCGATCCATGATGGCCACTCCAATCATAATCAGATTTAAAATCAGGATTTTCAGAATGAGTTTGAGAAGCAGACCTCTAAATTGTTTAGGTAAGGTAATGGAATATTAAAACATTATTAAAATATTAAAACTCTGGGTGTACGTACGCTTGCCTCAATGATCCATTAAAATCAATCATGGTCTACTTCTAATGACTTCACTGATTTGAAGATGTTTTTTTGTGTGTAATTATTTTATTTAAGCTTATTGAAGCTGATTGCTTCAGTAAATTGCAGCCAAACTGTGTCATCCATTTACTCTCACAAGGGACACGGCGTTAAACTGGTTCGACTTGGGCTTGGGGGTGACAAACACCACTCGGACAAATTTTGATCTATTTTCCTTTTGTTATCCAAATTTATTCCAGATCATCACAGAGCTCTTCTTACTCAGATATTGTGCGCCACATCTGTAATTCAATCTGCCAACAGAGTGCAACTGGTGACCTGTGTGAATATAAAATGACACTTTGCATCTGTTGAGCTTCAAGTGTCAAATCAAATATCTGAAAACGCTTTTAGAAGCTCAGCCTGACTGTAACTGATCTCTCTCTCTCTCACACACACACACACACACACACATCGACACTCAAATACCACACCACACACACACACACTCACACACACATCTAGCAGCTTCTAAATATACCTTTAAGTCGGTGTTCCCTACACTCAATAACGTGTTGATCCTGGAGACCAGCATAGAAAAAAAGGACTAAATGTTTTATTCAGTTCAGTTAGTGTCTGAGGTCATAAACTGCGCTTCATTCAAAGTTTTAAGAATTTTCCTGGACCGACTGAACTTCAGTTCTTGAATTCTAACAGTTGTCAAACAGGGCTGTCAGCTGTCTGCACTGCTGATGG